TGCCCCCTTCCAGTTGCCCAGGAGATACAGTTGTACATCAGTACTGTTATGGTGAAAGACATAGATGGTAAAGTGCTGTGGACTAGAAGAGACTCATGAAATGTAAGGCTTATTTTGTTACAGAATAAGGGAGTTGGGTTTTTTTAATCATGTTGTCCTGGGTTTGGCTGAGATAGAGTTAATTTTTTTTCCCAGTAGCTGGCATAGTGCTATGTTTTGGATTTAGTATGAGACGAATGTTGATAACACACTGATGCTTTGGTTGTTGCTAAGCAGTGCTTAGGCTAGTCAAGGACTTTTCAGCTTCCCCTGCTCTGCCAGGGGCACAAGAAGCTGGAAGGGGGCCCAGCCAGAACAGCTGACCCCAACTGGCCAAAGGGCTATGCCAGACCATATGGTGTCATGCTCAGTCTAGAAACTGGGGGCAGTTGGCCGGGGGGCAGCGATCCCTGCTAGGGGACCGGCTGGGCATCAGACAGCAGGTGGTGAGCAATTGCGTTGTGCATCACTTGTTCTGTATATTCTTTTATTATTATTATTATTATCATTATTATTAATAATAATTTTCCCTTCCTTTTCTGTCCTATTAAAGTGTCTCTATCTCAACCCACAAATTTCACTTTTTTTTCCCCTGATTCTCTCCCCCAGCCCACTGCGGAGGGGGGCAGTGAGCAAGTGACTGTGTGGTGTTTTGCTGCCTGCTGTGTTAAACCACAACACATGTGCTTTGGTACTAATATCCAAACAAGATTTTTTTTCTGTGGAAATTCAGTAGCTCCCCAGGGGGTATGTATGTGTTGGTGATGTGAAAATGCGTGGTTGGGTTTTGCTGAGGCTGCGTCTGCAGTGAAAGTGCAGAGGAACTTTGAATGAATGCCGTAAATCAGCATACAGCAAGTGTCTTCTCTGGAGTGGAACTAAGCAAATGTTTGGCTATTGAGCCTCCAGTCCCTTGAACAAGGACTGCTGTGACATTTGCTCTTGTAGCAGAAACAAAAGGCCCAAGTTCTCAGTAAAATTTTCGAAGTTACCCTAATGACTTAATAGCCCATATTCAATATGCAGTCATTTGGACTTCCAAGAGTCATTGTTAAAAAATCACTTTCCTAAATTACTGCAAAATTTCTATGTTGTGCTGTTAGTTGATGGTGATGTTGCAATATTGTAGGAACAGATGTGCTGGTAAAATGTGTTTTACCTGTATCTTCTGAAGTGCTTTAAACAAAAGTGCCTCAGTTGTCCATTTTGTGATAGAGTGGACTGCAAAACAGCCAGCATACTTGTTGATGCTTGTTAAAAGCATCCTCTTGAAGAAGTACTGCTGTGGGCATTTATCTGTTTAGCAACTGATTTAAATCACAAGTACAAACTGTTTTTTATAGGGCTATGCATAGGATGATAAAACATGAGCATGGTTTTAACCTTTAAGAACGTATTTTACCTGCAAGTCCATTTAAAATATGATCAATAAAAAGTCATATATGTGCATACCTAACAAGTATGTTATGTGATGGTAATTCAAGTCATGTAATCTCTTACTGCCCACTCCAAGAAGGTAATTTGTGTACCATCTTTAAACTAAAAAACCCAAAACTAACCACCACTGCCCCCCCCCCAAAAAAAAAAGAAAACAGAAAACCCATACCAGAAAGTATTTTTGAAAATTAAAATAATCAAGTAGAAACAGGGAGATATATATAGAGTGAAAGCAATTAAAATATTTTTCTTAATATATGAAATTATTTAAAGGGAGGCTGTACTATGGTTTTATGTTTAACGGCTTTAGGTTTCAGACTAGAAGAGCATTTCAGGTTTAATCAGTAGCGTCAATTCTGTTTTACCAAATGGGTGACCTCCCTTCATCCTGACGTAGTTACTATTGCACTGGCTCAGTGCAGGGACTGTTTTATTATTGGGCTGGGGGAAAGGAGGCAGGGCATAGATTTTAAGAAAACTTTTCTGACCAAGTGCAACACAAACCAATATGTCGCTGTTCACTAGCATGCTGCTCAAGTAGAATTTGTAGAGGGCATGTGCTTTTGGTGTGATCCCTTCATTAGAAAAACATAGTAGTCAAGTTACCAGGTTGTGCATTGTTTTCAGTTCTGAAGTAAGATATGGTATTATTGGATAAGATACTAAAATATTTATAATAATATATAGAGCAATTAAATAATATCCATATTACTGGATAAGCAAAGCAACACCCTGAAGGAGTTTAGTTAGAAGGACTAATTGGCACCGTACCACAGTCTGTTTCAGTTTATTTTTACACGCTGTTTAAGAGCTGAAAGGCGCCTTTCCCAATACTAGGTGAGAATACAAGATTTCACACCTCTTTCACTAAACTGGTTCATAATGAAAAACAAAGTGATATTAGCAGGTAGGGTGAGCTCTCTGAAAAAAAGCAACAGCCTGCTAATTATCTCTATTAAGCATAATTGCATTTGATTGTTCTATTTCTGTACAGTTTTGCCAACAAACAGAATTGGGTAATTCCTGCAGCCAGAAGCCACCATTCTGCTTCTGCCCAGAAAGATGCTCAGACTGAACCATTGCTGATTTGACATCAAAAAAAGCTGGTGGAGTTGCACTATGAATTGGGCTTGCTTTATCCAGGAAGATGAAGTGATTACCTTCAGGCCACTCTGTGAAAGGCTGAGGCGACTGAGCTAATAAAAACAGCTCAGCCCTGAGGGTTTGCAGGTACACAGGTTTTTTTGCACAAGCAACCCTGAGCTGTAGCGTGGACTTCTCAGAGTTACAGCCAAGCCTGCTCATTTGTTTTCAGTGTCTGATGTGTATCTTCAAGAAAAGAAAAGAAAAATTGCAAACCCCCTTGTTTTTCTCCTATCATGTTTTCTGTGGTGACAATGTGCTGAAAAAATGGAATTAACAAATCACTTCCTATTAGTAAAAAATGCAAATGACTGACAATTTCCTTCTCCTTTTTCCAGTAGTAAATTTAGGTAAGAGGCAAATGAGCTGCACAAAATGTTCATCTGTAGAGTCAGCGTATCCTAACAATCCCCTTTAAAGATCATCTTGATCTTACTGCCTTGATATATCGCTACCTCAATCTCTCTCCCAAAAAAGCATCTGGGTAGATCTTAAACTTAGCCGAAATAGTTGCTGTTGGTCTGTCTAGAAAGTGCATTCTAAATGTTTATTGCTCTTCTGAAGCATGAGTTTTGTTTGCAGGAATGTTAATTATCTAGCTTATGGGTGGAGGCTGTTGCGGTATGGTCTTGTTAGTCCTTCCACAGTTCTTAGAGTTTACTTTGATCAGTAATAGCCAACCATTTTGGAAATGTGCTCTGCTAGGTCCTTTTATTTACCCTTCTCTTCTCCTGTAAGGCATGACTGAACTATTCAACTTTTCTTAGACTTTACTCACCTTGGTTCAGCCAGCTTGGATTTCTGTTATCATTTCTGTGGGGTGAAAAGAATGAAACTTGATGAAGGAGGTCAAACATTTCATTAGTGTAAACCATTAATGGCAACTTCATTAACTGTTATGCAACTGTGTCAGTTACATTTGCTGTGGTTCTGCCCCAGAAGTGTTCCGGGAGGCTGAACAGAGGATGTGGTCTTGCACGGAACCACCACCATTTGTTTTTGATCTCTATTTAATCCCTGCATTGACCGATTTCAGCGTTTAATGTTGGTTCTTTACGTGAAGCTCCCAAATCTCTCCTCAGTCCTGCTTTGTTCTGTTTCTGTGCTTTCTCTCCTATTTGCAATTAATATTTTATCAGAGTTTTCACAAATAAGAATACACACATATCAAAAAAGCTACAGCATCAACAGTGTTACCATCAACCTCCAGGAACAGAAAAGATTCCCAAATACACACAGTATAATTTGCAGCTCCCCTTTTGTCACAGACACAGGGAATGGAATACAGTAAGATGATGGGGACATTAATTTGGTGCTTCTGTCCAGCTCTTGTCTGCTGTGACTCTGATGCCACTAGAGTTGTCAAAGTCTTACACCTATGTTTAGCGGATAAGGCTGCTAAAGCAAGATGTTGCCATTTCATCTTTCTCACGGTCCTTTCAAGAAAAAGGTCTGATTTTAGCAAAATTCTGTTTGTGATTAGCAAACAGACAATCCTGGCATAGTCCTGTGTTACCTTTCTGGGCTTGTATGTAACCTGTTATTTTCAAGAAGACACATTATCATCAACTCTGTCTGGCAAGCTCACCCTCCTTCCCCCCCTTTTTTTTTCTTGAGAAACCTCCCACATACCTGTCTGTAGTCAAACAGAGTTGAAAGAATTTGTATAATATAATAGGCTCATGCCTTCAGTCATAACTGCAATCACAGAGGCCTATGAGAGCACTCCTTTGCTACAAATCCAGAGCAGCCAACGTCTGCGCCCTTTTTCCAGTCTCTTGTGTCTGTGCGTATTAACATATCCAATGAGAACAAATAGCCTGAAACATGGCCATTCTGTTCTCTGTCCTGCCATGTATCTGTCTGTCGCCAACTGCTAATAACTTTTTATTGTATATATTGGATTCTGATTAGCTGCCTCAAATTTGTTTTTTAGCATTTTGTGCTGCTCTTTGCTTTCTTACCTCTCCAGTTAGGTTATTACACTCGCATGAAACAGCCTCATCAGAGCTGATGGCAATGCTCAAACTAACCCTGCTTCCTGCCAGAGGGTGTACATCTTCCTCTTTTAAGACCCACGGTGCGTGACTGTAGGGAACAGAAGTAAAAAGGCACACGATGAGACAACAATCAGTTTTGTTTGCATATTTCCTGTGAAGTAGTTAACCAACATTTACTTGTTGGTAACAATTAACAACTAATTGTTAATTTGGAACAACTCTTAAAATGTTGTGTTGCCTCCTGCATGAAAGGAAATGATTTAAAAGCCTCTATGGGGTCAGCCGACTGCTATTCAGCATATTTATCTTTGCCATTAGCTTTTCATAAAAGTGCTGCTTCTGTCTAGAGGCCACAAATCTTTTTTGTGCTTCCTGTTGCAGAATGTTTATTACACAAGCAATCAGCAGCTCCATGTGGGTGTTCTGAGTCCCACTATCGACGATGATGACAACAGATGCCTGGTGGATGTGAACAGCAGGCCCAGGCTCATTGAATGCAATTATGCCAAAGCCAAGAGAATGAAGCTTTACTGGCAGTTTACTCAGGTAATTCTTACTCAGCAGACATTTCAGAAAGTTCAAAAGCTCTGTTTCGGTATCCAAAGTGTGAGTAATCTGTTTGCTAACAGAATAGAACCAGATTTATCCTTGCTTTCTTTGCACAGAACCAGGAAGCTATGTTTACTTTGATTCCAATGTCAGCTACCTCAGGAGGTTATAAAACTTGTAATTATTTGTTTCTAAGGCAGACTGACTGCTACAGAATTATCTTAATCAAAATTGATTTTGGTAGAGTCAAATGCAAAGTAACCTATTTAGGAACAAGAAACAGAAAGCTTTTTTGTTTGGTTGGTTTTTTGGAAGTAGCAACTCAGAAAAGGGAGTAGTGAGTCATTGATGGTAACAGCCTCATCATGAGCTACTTTTGCAGTTTCTTAATTAAGAAGGTTAATGCTTGAGAGAGGGAGAGAAGCGCGAGTAAAGGCTGAGACATGATTTCACAGTGATGAGAATGCTGATAGGACACTGAGTCCAGGCCTGGTGTCCACACTTCATAACTGATTTAGAAATACAAGGGAGAACTGTAAGGAAGCCAGAAAAGTTCTGGGGCTGGAAAACATGCTCTGCGATACAATGCTTATGGAGATCACCCTGTCCAGTTTAGCTAAGAGGAAGTGGCAAGGTGACTCAAAGTGTATCAGTGTTTCCACAGAGGGACATAGGTTATCCTGAAGACAAAACAGGTTCCAATAGTTGGAAGCTAAAGACAGTCAAATCTGGTCTTTCAAAGGAAGGTAAGATTTTCCTAAAATAAGAATTAAGGCATTGGAAGTTTACCATGTCAGCTGCTGACACATTGGTTGCTTAGGATAAATAGAATGAGATTATAATACTTTCTAAAACAAGTACCTGATTCAGCTTCTGTGGCAAATTTAAGAGCTAGTGTGAGTTTGACTGGTCCCAGTTGCTCCTCTGCAGTGTTGAGGCTACAAATCTGGTTGCCTACTCCAGTCCCTGGGCTGAGGCTCACCATTAAGGTAATTTTATGCCTGCATTTAATTTTTCTGTATCATCCATGTGGGTTTGCAAATACCTTTTCTGCCAACTCATTAGGTTTTTTTTACTTTGATTTCAACAGCCATGATCAGCATATTTTAGGACATTGGTAATACAGTTTAGCATCTACCTTAGTGCAGAGAGCATTTGGACAGTAATCAGTAAAGCATTCTATTAGCATAATTTGTATTTACACTTGAAAGTAATCCAGATCTTTGTCTTTAAAGGGTAGCTCTCAAGCAGCTGGAAAGACATCCCAGCTTTCGCTTTCAGTCTCCTCAAGGGCAGAATTTTAATTATATCTTCTCTCAAATTGTAACAATAGTCTTGTCGGGAGGAGGTTTCACTGTGGCCATCTTTGCACTTGATTTTTGGTACCGTTATAAAAAAGTATAATTAACATATTTATTTAAATAGTATTTAATACATTTTAGTACTGCCCACCTATTCAGTGATTGCTCTGTATAACCCAACCCTTTGGTGACAATTAATGGTTTCTACTCCAGAATACTGCTGCTATTTTGTAACACTAATTATGTTAATCTGATTTGGGGGACAGCAGTAGAATGCATTGATAATTTCACCATTAAAAGCTTCAAAAATGGTATTTAACTACTTTAGGTTTGTTTTCTTTCTGTATTTCCATTCCGTGTTCCAAATACAGTCTCCCAATGAAGGTACAGTGCTGTCGTTAAACCAGACTCTATGGATTGTACTGAAGTCTTCTACAAAGAAACTTCTGCCCTGCCCAGGAGAAGTGAAAGCTAATTAGTTATTTCCTTATGATAAATTAAGAGACAAATGAAATAATTAAAAGCTTGCTGTTCAAAAAGGATTTTGTTAATACCCAATGCAATTAAAACGCTGTTATTTCTCAACATACAGCATGGTACGCAGCCCCTTGTATGTTCTGTAAGTTAGAAGAAAGCCAATTAGAGAAATCAAGGCTTGCCAAGATCAACTGATGAACTCCATTTGAAATGCTCCCATTTAGTCTGGTGAAAGGATGTGTTTCTGTGAATAGACTGGAAGCTGACTATCTGAGAAGTCTTTTTTATTACTTTTTTAAAGCTCTGGTATTTATTTTCCATATTATGCAGTGAACGGAACTACTGAAACTAAGCAGGACTGTAAGTATTGATGCTTATGTAGTCTTGAAGTTTGTGAAATACTAATTAAAATGTAGATGCTGGCCATAGCTTTTTATAGCACCTTCATTTGGCTGCAAGTATGCTTTGACTTCTCTAGATTCTCTAGCCATTCAACAAGAATGTCTGAGGATATCGATGATTAGAAATGTAGCAGTGGGAGTAGAGAATTGTCTCAGAAGAGGAATGGGAACAGGACTGACTTACCACCCAGAGCAGGATAAACCAATTGAACTAGATTTCCCTAACCAGCACAAAAATCAGTATTTGCCCTACATTCCAGACATGTATCTTAAAATCTGAATGAGGAAAACTTTCTAATTTTTCTGCAAAGCACACTATATTCTGCGAGGCACCATGATAGTCTGTGGTGGGGCGTGGATTTCAGTCTGGTTGCTAGAAGACTGTACAGTTTTTTGGAAAAAGGACTCTTCAGATAACATTTTCTTCCTCCCTTGCATTGTTGAAATGTAATGATGAGAGAAATCCTTATGACAAAAGTAGAAAATAGGGGTCATTCTCAGCTAGTGGTCTTGCTTTATTATTTAATTCTTAATTTGCATCTTTGATTAGAGGTGTGTATGTATATATCAAACTTGATTTCTTTTTTTAAAAATTATCTTTTACTTTGGTTTTAAAATTTTAAGTTACGTGGCTACCTTCAGTTGGAGGCAGCTGGAGTCAGACACGCAGATGTCCACTGCTGCCTTGTGGACAAAATAGTGGTTTAACCTGCATTTATATGGAGGGAACCACCACCAGTACCTCACACTGTTTTCATTCTGCATTGTGTTGGCTGACTGGATGGAGGCCTTGGGGGACTGCGTGGTGTCTTTCTGTACAGGACAAACTTGCGTCAAGCTTTCAGAGCTTGTATTATGTGTTTGTGTAATCAGGATCCATCTGAGCAAATTTCCATGCTCCACAGTTTTGTACAGCTGCCAAATGTAACAAGACCCAATAAAATGTAGGCTTCAGTGACATTCTTCTTCCTAAGGCTTCTTCAAGTGTTTATAACTGTAATTATGTCAAATTATGTAAATTAGCCCTGAAAAGATTCTCGTCAACTGGGTAGTGTTCAAGAATTTTATTGTTCTGGTTGTTTGTCAAGTCTTCTCCTAGGGAAATGCTTATGTTGGGAATACTTTTATGCTGGGAAGTCTTCTAGGTGTTTGACAGTTCACCTAGTTCAGTCTGCCTCACCTCTTTTTCATTTAATCAGAACAAAGTTAGACAAAATGTTAGCAAAATAGTAAGTAATCACCAGAAATTACACAAGGCAGAGAGGATAGAATTACAAGGTACTAAAATGGTCAGAATTTTACTAAAATATTAATTTAAACATGCTACCAAGGAAGCTGCTCTGGCATAATGAACCATTAGGAAAGCAAAAACTAACTTCAGTTGCCACCGAGTTCCCCATATTTAGTGCTAAACTGTTGATCCTGCTCACCCCCTGCGAGCTGTTCATGGGAAGGAGCAGGGTATACGTGCGACGTGCCGGCAGCAGCAGACTGCTCCCCAGTGTAACCGAATGCTTGCGGGAGGCATCAGGTGAGCAGCACATGTGCACGACAGCCACGGTGCGTGACAGCTATGGTGCACGGGCACGGGAAGGTGGCTGTCCTCAGGACTGCCGTGGGGGTTGCGTTACATGGTCTGTTGTGTGACAGAGAAGGGGCTCCGATGTAGGAGATGGAAGCTGGGTCATCCAGAAAGTACACTTACGGCATGTTAGGAGTCCTCCAGCAGCATAATGAAGGCGAAAGGAGGAAGTTTTTCTGTAATTACTCTTTATCTTGAAGTGTCGTCTTGTTTATATTCAGATAGGGACGTGACCGTTTCTTACACTTCTAACCAGACTAGCTCCGCTGTCACAATTTGCCGTTGTCAGAAACGTGACAGGTGAGGGCTCTGTGTAAAAAGAGAGGAAAAATGTATAAGAAAAGGACACAAGGCAGAGCTAAAATCCTAAGAGATGAATCCTTTTAAGGCTGTTCCACGCTGAATTCTTTTCAGAACAGCAAGCTCTGTTAAATTCAGTAATTCAATTTCCAGTGTGGTTGCCATAGAAAGGTAAGAAGAGTATGCACCTATGGGGATGGACACTAACTGCAGGCCTCGTGGGAGGGAGAGGCTGTGCAGAGCCCATGCTCAGCACTGTCGCGTACCCATATCCACTAGCAGTCGCACCTGCCTGCAATGCTAACGTTGCTTTTACATGTTCTGGAGAACTGTGCTTCTAGTCAGTGCTGGAGGTTTCCAAAGGAAATCTTCCAGTTCAGAAGTGTTCAGAGGCGGTGCTTTATGCCGTCCTGAGAAGCTGTAAATAAAATTTGCTGCTGACAGATGTAGTTACCATATGTATAACTTCCCAAATATCACAGAAGGCATTGCTTTGGAAGGAAAAGGGAAGACAGATGAGAGCAAATTAATTACTCAGTTGTTACAGTATTCTACAGATAAACATGATGATTCATATCTCATTTAAATAGGCATTAAATAGTAAATAAATAGATATTCTATGTAGCTATGTAAAGAAATAATAGACTTGAAAATTACCGAAACCATTTAAATCTTATTCCTCCTAAAGATTTTAGCCTTTGCCAGTCATTCTGAATTACTCTTACCTGGCTTTATCTTATGAAATTAAAGGATGTGCAGTACCACTGCTAGCTAGAACCACAACCCACAACCACATCCCAAACGAGTAAGGGAATGCAGGGTGCAGACTGCCTGGCAGGATTAAACTGGAGGCCCATGAAGCAAGCAAAGAATCTCTGTGCCAATTTCATATGCCCCCTTGCTGAGCAAACGCAGTGCAGAATTGGAGGCTAACAA